TGATGGGCATCTAGGCTGTTTCCGTCTTTTTGCTATTGTGAGCAGTGCTGCATTTAATATGGGTGTGCATATGTCTATTCGTGTGATGGCTCTTATTTCTCTAGGATATATATTCCTAGGAGTGTGATTGCTGGATCATATGGTATTTCTATTTCTAGTTTTCTAAAGAAGCGCCATATCATTTTCCAAAATGATTGTATCGTTTTGCATTTCCACCAGCAATGCATAAGAGTTCCGATCTCCCCCTAGCCTCTCTAACATTTGTTATCTCCAGTGTTTTTGATTCGTGCCAGTAATGCTGGGGTGAGATGGTTGGTTTGGCTTTTACAAATTCCCTTAATTTCTATTTATCTGGAAATTTCATAATTTCACCAGCTTATTTGAGAGAATCTTGCAGATGTATTATTCTTGGCTGACAGTTTTTTCTTTCAAGGTTTTATATATGTCATCCCATTGCCTTCTCACCTGCATAGTTTCTGCTGAATTATCAGAACTTAGTCTTATTGTTTCCCTTTTGTATGTGACTTTGTGTTTTTCTCAAGCTGCTATCAGGATTCTTTCTTTTTCTTTGGTTTTGAAAACTGTGATTATGATATGTCTTGGTGACTTACTTTTGGGGTCTATCCTATATGGGGTTTGTTGAGCTTCTCGGATAGTCAGCTTTTCATCTTTCATGATATTTGGGGAGTTTTTTGCCAGCAAATCTTCAACAGTCTTCTCTGTGTTTTCTGTTTTCTCCTTCTGTTTTGGAACTCCGATGACATGCAAATTTTTGCTCTTTATTGTGGCCCACATAATTTTTAGGTTTTCTTCATTCTTTTCTCTGATTTTTCCTCAAACAAATTGGTGTCCATGGATTTGTCTGCAGTCTTGTTGATTCTGTCTGACATTGTTTCAAATTTCCTCCTAAAAGCTTCTATTGAATTGTCCATTTCCAAAATTTTGTTGTTTACCTTTTGGATTTTAGTAGCTGTTTTTGTATGACTTCTTATTATTTTTTTATTTTGATACTTTGTTCTTGTATTATTTTCCTGAATTCTTTTATTGCTTTGTTTGTGTTTTCCTTGACTTTGGCTGTGTTTTTGTTGGTTTTATCTGTGTTTTGTATGATTTTGTTTATTTTTTCCTTGGTTATATCTGTATTTTCCTTGATCTCTTTCCTATACTCTTGAAGAACCCTAAATATTAGTCTTTTGAATTCCATATCAGGTTGTTCCACTGCCTTTTCTTCTATCGAAAGCTTATCTGATTCTTTGTTTTATTCACTTGCTAGAGCCATCTTGTCCTGCTTTTTTATACGTTTTGTTATTGTCTGCTGCCTGTAAGACATTAAGGTATTTTGTTCTTTTTTTATTGAGGGCATGTTCTTTTTTTTGTGCTGCTTTTTTGTTTTGTTTTGATATGTTAAATGGGCGGGCTTTGTTGCTCACTCATCTCTAGGCACAATAGCTCTCACCACCTTGTCCTGGTGGGCAGGGCAGCAGTAGGAAAGGCGAACCTGTTTTGCTGTTCACTGGTTTAGCGAGGTGGCTGAGGGGGGACTGGGTGGTCACTGTTGGCCTCATGATGTTGGTCCAGCAGTGTGGGAGTGTTCACAGCCTCTTGCAAGCTGGGCAGGGATGTTGGATGGGGAGTAGTGCGAGCTCTTTTCCCACCATTCAGCAGCTAGTCAAGTGGCAGGAGGGGACGGACAGTACAGACCTGGTGCGGTGGGAGACCTGAGTGCTGGGGATGCTCTAGCTGTGGAGGCACAGTGGAGGCCAGCGGGAAAGCATCAGGAAGTGGTGTCTGGGGCTAGGTGGGATGAAGAAAGAAAAGAAAAAAAGGAAACTTTTAAAACATAAATAAAAATATAAATGGTGCATGGTGGGGGCTGGTAATGGGGGCTGGGGCAGACCTGGGGGCCAGTAGGAAGGGAGGGGAGGTTATGTACGGAGCTAGGTGAGAGGGAGAGAGGAATGGAAGGAAAATAAAAATAAATAAAAATAGTGGCATGGTGGTGGCCAACAGATGGAGTGGGGCAAACCTGGGGCAGTGGTGGGTCAGTACATCAGTGGGTCTCTAGCTGCGGTGGCACCACAGGGATTGGCAGGAAGGAGAGGAGATGGCATATGGGAGTATGTAGGAGGGAGAAAGAGCAGGAAGAAAGAGAAAAAAGAAAAAAATGACAGCATGGTGGGGTCCAGCGAGTGAGGGTAGAGCAGGCCTGGGGACCAATGTGAAGTAAGGTGAGGTGACATATGGGGCTTGGTGGGAGGGAGAAAGAAAAGACAGAAAAAAAATTAAAAAAAAATGGCAGTGCGGCAGAAGCTAGTGGGTAGAGGCAGAATAGACTGGAGGCGGCAGTGGGCTGGTGGCTCTGTAGCCACTGTGGCGCAGTGGGAGCTGGCAGGAAGGAGTGGAGGTGGTGTATGGAGCTAGGTGGGAGGAAGAAAGAAAAAGTCTCTAGTGTCTTTTCTTAGGATGAAGGTGGCTGATGACCAATGGGATGTTAATAACTTCCTTGGAGCAACACTTGGCTATCCTGACCCTAGGTTTCTGAGGCTTAACTTGTTTTTGTCTATTTTTCCCCTCATTTTTGTCTGCTTCTTGCTTCAACTCTTGGATAGCTCTGAATATTAGAGATTTGAATGCCCTATCAGGTAGTTCTAGTGCCTTTTTTCCTACTGGAAAGTCATCTGGTGTTTCATTTTGGACACCTACTGGAACCATCCTCTCCTGTTTTTGTATATGTTTTGATATTATCTGCTGTCTTCAGGACATTCAGTTATTTTTCTCATTTATTGATTGTAGATTTATTTGTTTCATCTTGCTTTTTTGTTTTATTTGGTTATGTTTGAGCAGGCAGGCTGTGCGTTCTTTGTTGTTTGCTCATCTGTGGGCATGATACTTTTTGCCTTTTTATCCAATGGGCAGGGTCAGTCACCAGCAGGGCAGGTCCAGCTGAAGGGGAGTTGCTGGGATGGGTTGTTTGTGGCACGTACTAGGTCTGACAGAGCAGGCCAGGAATCAGTGCAGGGCAGGTTCCGGTAGGCCATGTCTGTACTGCTTGAGGGTGTGATGTTGAGCGCATGGTGCAGGTAGGCAGGAAGGAGGGGGGAGATTGTGATGTGTGGAGCTAAGGTAGGTATGGGATAGAGGAGAGAGAGGAGAGAGGAACAGGAGCCAAAAACATACAAACAAACCAAAAAGAGTGCTAAGGGAGCTTGCCATTGGAGTGGAGAGATGAGAGACTGAGAAATGGAGAAAAACAAAAAGAGGAAAAAAAAGAATAAATAAAAATTAGAAGAAAAGAAAAGCCCCTAGGGATCCCACCGGTGTGGCTGCGAGGACTGGGGAAGTTGCTCCCAGGCCATGAAGTATAGCTGGCTAGAAGGAGTAGAGGTGTCACACAGCTCCAGGTATTCAGGAGACAGGAAGAGAAGGTAAGTATGGAGAGACGAGAAGCTGAGATATGAAGAAAGACAAAAAGGGAAAAAGAGAGAAAAGAAAACAAACCAAGAAAAAAGAAATACTCCCAGGGATCCCACTGCACGGCTGCGCAGACCGAGGGAGTAGCTCCCAAGCCACACAATACTGCCTGGCTAGAAGGGGCTCCCAATCCGAGAAAAGAAAAAGAAAACAAACAACCAAATCAAAACAAACAAAAGCCCCAAGGATCCCACCAGTGTGGCGGCACAGGCCAGAAGCAGTTCCAGAGTCGAGCGGCGTTTCACAGCCTTTCAGGAAGAAGCAAAGATGGCACACGGGGCCAGGTATTTGAGAGAAAGGAGGGGGAGGTGGTGAGAAGTATGGAAGAAACCAAAAGAGGGAGAAAAAGGTGACACTAGTAACCAACAAATGGCACTCAGGGAGCCAGCCAGTGCAGGCGGGTGGAATCCAAATGGCACAGAGGTGAAGCTGGTGCTTCCTGGCCAAGAGACTGTGGCTGCAGGAAGCAGAGGAGGCCAAGTGGGAGTGAAGAAGGATAGGGGGTGGGAAAGCATTTATCACTGGTTACCAGTTGTTCTATCTCCTGTTGGGAGCTCTGTGAAGCTGCTTTCCCATACTCCCTGTTCGCTGATCTCCGACAGGAGTCCACGATGGCGGATCTGTGCTGCGGTAGCTGATAGGGGACCTCTGCGTATGTATCTCTCCTCGCTCTCTGTTCTCTGTCAGTTTCTTATTCCATTTGGTGCTTGGCTGAGTTCTTTATCTCTTCATTTGATTCTTAGGGTTTCAGGATTGATGTTTGTCTCTGTTTGACTTAGTTTTTCGGATGTTTGCTGTGGAAGGATGGCGTGGTACTTCTGTCTGTAGTGCCATGTTGCCCGGAAGTCCCTTGACTTGTTTTTAAGGGAAAGTTGTGCCCCATCTGAGCAAGTAAGATTTGCCTCACAGTAGCCTCATCCCCAAATCAGGCCTATTCTTGTTATGGTCCCCACCACACCCCTATTGTGCTAGATATTTCCTTCTCCCTCACTTCTGAGTCTATTATATCAAAAACTGCTCTTTCAGTAGCTCCTTTTATATCTAAGAGCCAGTCAGACAAGTGAGGATCTAATTATCATTGACTCAAGTTATTTATATTACTTAGGCAGGCAAGATTCAACAGGACTAGAAATCAAAATATTTCTGTGGCCAGGTGGCGTGGACTAGTAAAAAATGAACCATATTTAAACCAAATCATTTTCACTTTCTGAACCCTTAACATAAGTACAATCATTATTTGTCTTTTTCAAGGAGAAAAATACCCCTAACAATATTAGTTTAAAAAATTCCCAATGTTTTGGCTGCCACCTGATTTTTCATCCCAAATCACAACTAGGTAAGCACAACATGGCTTTAAGAAAGTCTGTATATTATTATACGGGTATTTTCGGCAGAAAATAATATCCTTTGGTATTTTAAATCTATATATCTGTAGATGGAAGAGTCACGGGTATTTTAGATACACTGCTTCTAATCCGAATGTTTTTCAACCAATCTCTTTACTTTCATTTTTGCTATATTTCACTTAGAAAATAATAGTCCTCCCACAGCCCAGGCTGGTGGCAGACATATTCTTGTGCTTCCCAACAACTCCATTACTTTGGATGGTTCAAGGTCTAATGATGACCAAGGAATTGTGTCCTATTTGTGGACCCGGGTAAGCCAGAGTCCAGCAGCTGGAGTGAGTACTTAAAGAGAATCACCCCTAGACCACCTATCATGACCTCTCTATTACGACTTCATCTCCCTTTCCACATTCCCCACTAAAGTTCTTAAGATTCTAGGTTTGAGTGCTCTGAGGATTGGAGACAGTAGGCTGTTAGATTTAAAAAAAGCTGAAAGCCTTTCTGACTTTTTCCCTGGACAGACTTTGGATAGGGTAGGAACCTATGAGGGCAGTGGTGGCTCAGTAGTAGAATTCTTGGCCTCTGTGCAGGACACCCAGGTTCGATTTCTGGCCAGTGCACCTCATGTGCAGCCACCACCCATCTTTCAGTTGAGGCTTACGTGTTGCTATGATGCTGAACAGGTTTCAGCAGAGCTTCCAGATTAAGACAGACTAGGAAGAAAGGCCTGGCAATCTACTTCTGAAAATCGCCAGCATGACCCTATGAATCACACATGGGGATGGCACAGGACCAGGCAGTATTTTCTTCCATTGTGTATGGGGTTGCCATGAGTAGGGGGCCAACTTGACAGCAGCTAACAACAACAAAACAATAGGAACTCGTAGCCTGGAGGGACTTTGAAGCCAAGTCTTCCAGTGGGGACCATTCTGCTCCTCAGTTTCCCCATCCTTCCTGTGGATTCTTTCGTATTCCTCACATTGCACCAGATGGGGCAATAGAACAATTTCACAGGTGCAGAAGCTGAGATGTAGAAGTGGAAAGTGACTTGACCAAGGTCATTTAAGTCATCCTTGACCAAACCTACAGAACCCAGGTTTTTAAGCTCCTGACTAAGCGTTTCCCCCTCGTTAAATCACTCTGCCTCTTAGGCTATAAATTTAGGTGTATTTTCATTCGTGTTTTTGCTACATACTTGAGACATACAAATTTACCCTTGGAGATGTACCAAAAGAGTAGTCACAGGGAAGGAACTGAAATGCTTTATACTTTCTAAAGCACCTGTAGAATTAATAATATTCAGGCTAGATGGTGCATTGGCTTCCAAATGTAATTATGATGGGTCTCTGTTCAGAGTATTTGCTACTTTTTGTTACTGTTCTGTTAGCAAGTTCAGAGCAAGGATCCAGGAGACACTCTCCTCAACTTCTCTGGAGCTTTGAGCCCCACAAAACAGAGATGTCTCTACCCAGGCTCTTGGGTCATCTGAGAAGGTGAACATGGTACACTCTAAGGGAACCCAAGATGAGAGTATTGTAAAGCTATGTTTAAAAATAAGACCCAAAAAACTCTTCAGAGAGCATGGTTCACCCTCAAGGCCTTTGTCCTGACTTCAATGATCTTTCCCTCTCTTGGATGAAAGTAATCAGTTGGTAATTTCTGGAAAGCCCTTGTGGCCAGTAAGCTCAGCTCAGGAAGGACTGTCTGAGGAATTTGTGCGCCATGTGTCTGATGTGGAAGAGATGCTGAGGATTACTTCTATCTTCACCTAACCTACCACCCTTGTTCCTCTTTAACTCTCCCTTCAAATCATGCATGTGTGAAAAAATGGGATGCTGAGGTTTGCAATAAACAGACACCGGGAACTAAGTACTGACAACTGCCCTGTGAATTGCGTTATTTCATAAGATGTAATCGATGGCTCTGACCACAGCACAGCCCTGCAACTAACCAACCTTGTGGAGGGAGTCTACACTTTCCGCCTAAAAGTCACTGATGGCCAGGGGAACTCGGACACCGACACTGCCACTGTGGAAGTGCAACCAGGTGTGTGTGTGTGTGCCTGCATGGACTTCTGCACTGGGGCCAGTGAAGCTGGCCTGTGATCTGGGTGCTCAGCTTGTGGGGTTCTTGCACTTAACAGGTGTGACCCAGTGTGGGAAGCCCTGTGGCTGTCTTCAGCCAGGTCTGTTTTGAGGATTTTTCTGCACTTTGTTGTATATCTCCAAATAGATCTAGTCTTATAGCTCATTAAGGAGAACTGTATCTGGGAGCAAGATTCTGTTTTTATTTTCCTGCCAGAGACAAAAGGAGCCCTGGTGGCAGAGTGGTTAAGCTCTCCACTGCTAACCAGAAGGTCAGCAGTACGAATCCACCAGCCACTCTGTGAAGAAAGAGTGTGGCAGTCTACTGCCATAAGGATTACAGCCTTGGAAACCGTATGAGGCAGTTCTACCCTGTCACATGGGGTTGCTGTGAGTTGGAACCAACTTGACAGTAGTGGGTTTTGTTTGTGCCAGAGATTAACACCTAATGTGAAGTGGACACAATGATGCAATTCTGGGAGTGTTGAGGGCAGGAGCTCCAGGGAGGCAACCATGCTCCCAGAGAGCTAATGGCTTGGATGGATGTCTCCTGGTGTAAACTGGCCAGTGCCCACAGTGCTGGGAGACTGAGTGTCCTTTCCAGTCCTCGGCAAGTGTGCGGAGTGCAGAAATCTCCAATTTAGCCCAAAGGCACACCTGATAATCTTTTGGAAAAGAATTAATAGACAACAAACTGGGAGAAAGCAAGGAAAAAATGCTCTCAGTCTCCTCTGTGGTGTTCGGAAAGATTTCTCTGAGTCCTAAACCCCAAATACAGAAATTACACAGAAGTAACTTTAAACTTTAAATTCTTCAAGCCTGTGGTTTCCAAGTGGAAATCTCATAGCTTCTCTTTTCCCAGACCTTAGGAAGAGCGGTCTGGTGGAGCTGAGCCTGCAGGTAGAGGTTGGGCAGCTGACAGAGCAGCAGATGGACATGCTTGTGAGGCGGCTGGCAGTGCTGCTGAATGTGCTGGACTCGGACATTAAGGTTCAGAGGATCCAGGCCTACTTGGATCTCAGGTACAGAGCTGTATGCTCAAGGCAGGGCCTGGCCCCACAAAGTTCCAGCTCTTCCCCATCCCACTGCAGCAAGAAGCTGTGCATTTCCTTTGCTTGTTCTGGATTTGTGCACATAACTTTTACCCTATTCATATGTTTTTTTTTTCCTCAGAGGTCAGCAGTAAGGACAACATCATTCCAGGTCCTTCCCACAAGTCTCAGTAAATATTTGCTGGTTGAGAATGGTCTGAATGAAGGAGTTAGGAACCATCAGAGGGAGCTGGTTTTAGCTCTGGTGTCTTCAGAGGGCATGCAAATGGCCTGGGGCATGCAGAGAGGATATCCCATAGCCAGACATCATCTCTTTCCACATTCACGGGGACTGAGACTTTTCTCTTAATGTGAAAGGATTATTGATTACCCTTGCTGCCTTCTGGGAGTCCATGAGACTCAGATTCTGACCTTTCTTCTTTATAGGATTTAAGTATTTAACTGAGTTTTTTTTTTTTTAAGCTCTTATTCAGTCTATGGCTAGTAGAGTAGGGTAGGAGGAGAGAGAGAGTATGAGACTATGGGAATGAAAACTCATTATACACAATAACTTCATTTGCTAGTTATTGTCAGCTATTTCACTTAGGTTAGTTTTCCAGATAACTAAAGCTTACTTAGAAAATTACTAATTAAAAACAAATTCTAATTATTTTTTTGCAACCATTTCAAAAATGTATTACACATCTTCCTTATTTATAAAATGTAAAATACTGAACAAAAGACATGTCTGAAAAATCAATGATACCAAAAGTTGGTTCTTTGAAAAGATCAACAAAATTGATCAACCTTAGCTAGACTGACCTAAGAAAAAGAGAGAAGACTAAACTACTAAAATCAGGAATGAAAGAGGGGACATTACTACCAACCTTACAATAATAAAAAGGATCAGAAAGGAATACTATTAACAATTATATGTCAACAAACTAGATAATCCAGATGAAATGGACAAATTTCTAGAAAGACATAAACTATTGCAACTTACTTAAGAAAAAAATAAAAAGTCAAACCTATAAGAAGTTAAGTAATTGAATTAGTAATCAAACAGTTTCCCACAAAGAAAATCCTGGCACTGTCTGGTTTTACTGGTGAATTCTGCCAAACATTTAAAGAAAAATTAACCCCAGTCCTTCATAAACTTTTCCAAAAAATAAGAAGAGAGAACACTTCTCAACTCCTTCAATGAGGCCATTATCCTGTTACCTAAACCAGACAGAGACATTACAAGAAAAGAAAACTACAGAACAATATCACATATGAATATAGATGCAAAAATCCTTAACAAAACACTAGCAAACCAAATCCAGCAACATATAAAAATAATTATATACCATGACCAAGTGGGATTTATCCCACAAATGCAAGGTAGGATCAACATATAAAAACCAATCAATATAATATACCATATTAATAGAATAAAGGACAAAAACCATATGATAATCTTAATAGATGCAGAAGAAGCATTTGACAAGATCCAACACCCTTTCATGATAATAATACACAATAAAATAGAATAGAAGGAAACTTTGTCGACCTGATAAAAAGACATCTACAAAAACTTCACAGCTAACATCACACTTAATGGTGAAAGACTGAAAGCTTTCCTTCTAAGATCAGTAGCAAGACAAGAATGTCCACTTTTGCCACTTCTGTTAAACATTGTACTGGAGGTTCTCGCCAGGGCAATTAAAGGAATAAATGACATCCAGATTGAAAGGAAAAAGTAAGAGTATCTCTATTTGCAGATGACAAGATCTCATATACAGAAAATACTAAGGAATCTGCACATACACACACAAAACTATTATAGCTAATAAATGAGTTCAGCAGGGTTGCAAGATACAAGATCAATACACAGAAATCAGTTGTAGAAAGATGATACTGTAAGGGGGAAGGAAACTAGATTAATGGAAATGGAACAACCAGAATGGAAATAATGAGAATGTTCATGCATTGTGAAGAATGTAATCAGTCTTACTAAACAATTTGTATATAAATTTTAGAATGGGAACCTAAACCTCTGTGTAAACCTTCACTAAAAGCACAATAAAATATTATTTAAAATAAAAGTTAAAAATCAGTTGTATTCCTAGGCAGTGAACAAACCAAAGTTAAATTAAGAAAATAATTCCACTTACAGTAGCATCAAAAAGATTAAAATACTGAGGAATAACTTTGACAAAAGAAGTGAATGACTTCAAAACATCTTTAAAAGAAATTTAAAAAGAACTAAATAGGGAGGTGTGGATGGGGCCAAGACGGCAGAGTAGTCAGACACTTCCGGTGGACCCTCTTACAATAAAGACCCAAAAAAAGAAGTGACTTGATTATCTATGGCAGTCTGGGAGCCCTGAACATCAAAGGCAGAGTTGAGGAACCAGACTGAGTGGCATGGGGAGGGGGAGATGGTTCGGAAGCAGCGAAGAGTTGCCAGACCTGACCCAGTGAGAGCCTGAGCCCTTCAGGCCTGATCAGCTCAGGAGTGAGTGGTGAGGCAGGCAAGCAGCCGTGCTTGGGAGGCGCATTTTCTGCACCGGGAGAGACCCAGCCAGTGAGAGTCTACCTGGCCACCCAGAACAAGTGAGAAGCAGCCCTCGATCCGGCGAAAGATAAGTAATTGTGTATGGCCTACCACAAGGATCAAAAACTCACCCCTTAGGGAAAACCCTCTCTCCAATTTACCTCCTGGCTCCCTGCTCTGCACTGGGTCCCGGACCAGCTTCAGCAATTGCCAAGTCCTCTGGGCTGGAAATAGGATCTGTCACACACCCGGAGCCATTCTCCCTGCTTTGGAGAGTGAACAGATTAGATTAACAAATGGGAAAAAATAAATTGCCGGCTCCCCTAAGCCAGGAACCCAGGGTAGGCACAGCTTCTTTGCCTAGGCACAGGCATAAGGGATCCACGGACTTTGAGTGCCTTTCCCCCTGCATAGACTTGTGTGGGCCATCTTAACAGTGTAGGCCCTCATTACCACAGTACAACAGGGTATATACCAGAACCCTAACTTCAACTGTTTTAGCTGTGAAGTGGTAGGTTCTTGACATTTGACACTGCTCTGCCCATTAAGCAGGGTCTTCATCTGCCCACATCAGGGGCCTGAGGACTGGTGGCTCCACCCACACCACCTACCCACCTGCGAGAGGGGCCCATGAATAAGAGGTGCCCCCTAGTCCTTACAGCCAACAGCATTAGGTGCTCATAGTCTGGCTGCAAAACCCACCCACCTACGTATGCGCTGTAGGGAACAGGGACACGCCTTCCTCCTGGACACTCAGAGGCAGCCGTCAGCCCCCTGTCTTGCTCAGAGTGTGTCCCCCTGCTGCAGCCAGATGCCTGCCTACACCAATCACCCATGCCTGTCTAGGACTGTAAGTGAGAGCCTACACCACATAGTTCGTGGCTATCTACCTGGGCACCTGTGCCGAATCCATACAGGAGGAGTGGGCAGACTCCTGAGCTCACATACCTAGTAACAGATCTAACCACCTGGTGACAGGATATTAGAGCTTCAAAGCTGCCAATAATCAAACTAGCTCATACGAGCGGCCTATTTGGGCATATCAAAATAAAACAAGAAGCTAGGACACAGTAAGCAAACATGAAATAAATAAATATAATAACTTACTGATGGCTCGGAGACAACAGTCAATATCAAATCACATAAAGAGGCAATCTGTGATGGCTTCAGCAAGCTCCCAAAATAAAGAATCTAGAAATTTTTCAGAGGAGGAAAATTTCTTGGAGTTACTGGAGGCAGAATACGAAAGATTAATATACAGAACTCTTCAAGAAATTAGAAAGGAAATTAAGCAAAACGCAATAGAGGAAATTAAAAAGATTAGAAATTAAAAAGATTAGAAATTAAAAAGATTAGAGAAGAGCATAATGACAAATTTAACAGACTGCAAGAATCCATAGAGAGACAGCAATCAGAAATCCAAAAGATTAACAGTAAAATGTCAAAATTAGACAACTCAATAGAAAGTCATAGGAGCAGAATTGAGGCAATGGAAGTCAGAATTAGTGAGATTGAAGATAAAGCACTTGACAACAACTTATTTGAGGAAAAATCAGATAAAAGATTTAAAAAAATGAAGAAACCCTAAGAATTATGTGGGACTGTATCAAGAGGAATAACCTATGAGTGATGGGAATGCCAGAACGGGGTGGGGGGATAACAAAAAATACAGAGAGAATTATTGAGGATTTGTTGGCAGAAAACTTCCCTGATATCGTGAAAGATGACAGGATATCTATTCAAGATGCTCATCAAACCCCATATAAGGTAGATCCCAAAAGAAAGTCACTAAGACATATTATAATCAAACTTGCCAAAACCAAAGACAAAAAGAGAATTTTAAGAGTGGCTAGGGATAAACGAAAAGTCATCTACAAAGGAGAGTCAATAAGAATAAGCTCAGACTACTCATGCAGGCAAGAAGGCAATGGGATGACATATCTAAAGCCTTGAAGGAAAAAAACTGCCAGCCAAGAGTTATATATCCAGCAAAACTGTTTCTCAAATATGATGACGAAGTTAAGACATTTCCAGATAAACAGAAGTTTAGGGAATTTGCAAAAACCAAACCAGAATTACAAGAAATACTAAAAGGAGTCCTCTGGTTAGAAAATCAGTAAAATCAGATAACAACCCAAGACTAGAACACAGGACAGAGCAGCCGGATATCAACCCAGATAGGGAAGTCACAAATGGAAATCAAAGCTAAACCACTGAAAAAATGGAAACAGATGTCAATATGTAAAAGATGAGAACAATAAAACAAAAAAGAGGGACTTAAGAAATGGAGATACAGATTTTTCATATGGAGAGAAAGTCAAGGCGATATAAAGAAATAAAAGACTGGTATAAACTTAGAAAAATAGGCTAAATATTAAGGAAACTAACAATCCTACAAGTCCAAATAAAAAACTAGAAAAATATAAAGATTCAGCGAACACAAAATCAACAA